CGCAATTGCGGTGAGATCAGCAGATCTACCAGGACGCAAAATCAGAATCAGAAGTCGGGGTGTCACCTCAGAAAGCGTGCACAGAAGACACACTAGGATAAGAGAAAACACTGCAAACTCACGAGCGAACGGAACACGTCCGACCACAGGAGAGGGGATGAGGGAATCGGGGTAAACAACGGAGTGCAAGACAGGCAGCATGTGCTCCAGCGCATATTGAGCGCCATCGTGCCCACCCTGCCGTGGACGACGGGCTGCAAGCCTCGTATTCGTCCGTCCAGCATTGAAGGGGCCCTGGGACACACATATAAATAGACACAAATAACAGGATTCCCCATATTTCCCCATATTTTCTTGGTTTTTGTCTTGCCCCCCACTTCCCATAGTTTCCCATATCTTCCTGGGAATCGACGATAAATTGTGTCTGTGTGTTTTTGTTTCCCTCCTGAAGCATGCAGGCTGTAGCCGTTGAAAGATGCCCTCCGGCCTTGGACCCAACGCTCGCCTTGCCAGTGCAGCAACTGCGCTGCCCGTGAACGACTGCTCTGGGGTCGCTCGAAAAATGCGCTCGCCGGTCCAAGACACGGAAGCAGTGGCGATGGCTCCACCCACGCCCATTCGGGAGTGGCCAAGAGGGGGGCGTCCAAGATGGGGGGGCGCAAATCATGGCCGGCGGCATGTGCGCGGCCCAAGGGGGGAGCCAGGGACGTCATGAAACAAGACGAGGCGCCATGAAATCTAGGGAGATATCATGGCCCCCGCCATGAGATCCACCCCCCCCTAGTCATCACCCCCCTCTTTGCCGCCCCCGACCTCTGCCAACACAAAGCCCTGGCCACACGAGCCCTGCGGCGAGGCACATCTGGCACCTTGTCGCCAGCGTGCCGCGGCGCCCGCACGCGTAATTGAGCCAACCGCGCAGCGCTGACGGGCGTGAAGGCGCCCCTCCAGGGTGACGACTGGGGGCCATCGGCTGCATCCTTAATGAGTCGGGAGCGACCAAGAGGGGGGTGTCCAAGAGGGGGCGTGCAAATCATGACCGCCGGCATGTGCGCGGCCCAGCGGGGGGGGCGGGCCAGGGACGTAATGAAATAAGAAGAGGCGCCATGAAATCTGGGGAGACATCGTGGCCCCCGCCATGAGATCCACCCCCCCCTAATCATCACCCCCCTCCTTTGCCGCCCCCGAATCAGATACGGGGAGAGTACGAACCGGTCAAGCAGCTTGAGACGCTCCTGCAGGAGAGGACCCCCCGCAGCCGGTGCCTCTCACGAGCTGCCCGAAGTGCTCGCCGCATGGCGGCCAAGGTTCTGGCGGCCCACGGCTTCCAAAGAGATATGAAGGGGCCCTGGGACACACAAAATAAATATACACAAATCACAGGATTCCCCATATTTTCATATATTTTCTGGGTTTTTGTCTTCCCCCCCACCTTTGTGGGCCCCGGAAACGGCAGGGCCGTTTTTTCACCGTTTCCAAAAGAACGTCCCTTGGAAATGGTAACGGCAAAAAAATGGCGACCGAAAACGGTAAAAAACGGCTCCAGGATTGGAAACGGAGCCGGAACTGGTCAAAAAACGGCGACGGAACCGGTAAAGAAACGGCGTCGGAACAGGCAGAACAACGGCAAAGCGGAAGCGGTAAGGAAACGGCCATGTCGTTTCCAGGGCCCACCAAGCCCCCCACCCTGCCGTGGACGACGGGCCGCAAGCCTCGCATTCGTCCGGCCAGCAACGAAGGGCCCTGGGACACACATATGAAGAGGCACAAATAGCAGGATTCCCCATATTTCCCCATATTTTCAAGGCTTTTGTCTTGCCCCCCCCCCTTCCTATAGTTTCCCATACTTTCCTGGGAATCGACGATGGATGGTGTCTCTGTGTGCTTTGGCTTCCCGCCCGAAAGGCTCCGGCGGCCCACGGCCTCCCGGGAGAGGTGGCCGGCGCCCCGGCGGAGCGCGCGTCCGAGAGGCACGGCGCCGGCCTCCCCGGCACGAAGGCAGCGGCGTGCCAATCGCTCGGGCGTCCATGCCTCTTTAGACGCCCGAGGAGGAGGAGGAGCAGGAGAAGGAGGAGGAGGAGGAGCAAAAGAAGGAGGAGGAGGAGGAGCAGGAGAAGGAGATCCTCCTCCTCCTCCTCCTTCTCCTGCTTTTCCATGCTCGCTGGAAAAAATGGGTACAATGCCCAACAACAGATGTTGTCCCAAACCAACAGCGGCCGCTGTTGGGCAGGCGGCCTTCTGTCTCGAGTGGACACAGGCCGCGGCGGCGTGGACAGCGAATCCTGTTCAAAATGCTCAGGGACTGCTGTTGGGCACTGTACCCATTCTTTCCGTACCCATTTCGGGCGTCCAGATCCTCGTGTCTGTTTCGACCTCGCGCGCGCCTCTGGTCGCTGAGTCCCCCAGGATGCTCCCCCATGTTCGGGTGCTGCTGGAAGTGCCCCTGGCCCCAGGGGCCCCAGCTTCTCGCTCCATTTCGGGGCCAGCTGGGGCCCTCCGGGCCTCGTGAGGGGTGCCCTGGAGACCGTCTGGGCCATCCCGAGAATCCTGGGGGGACCTTGGGCCAGGGGCACTTCTAGCAACACCCGGTCCATGGTCCTCGCCGACGAAAAAACGCACACTTGGAGGCCTGGAAATGGGCACCAACACCAACGCAAGGGGGCTGCCTCCACAGGGGAAAGATGTTCCTGGACTTCGATGCTGGTGGTAATGGTTCGGTCACCTTGAAGCCAGAATATGAACACCATCACCGAGATCGGGATCTTCTTCCCTCGGTGGAGGCACACCGCCGATGTTGGTGTTGGTGCCAACCTCTGGGCCTGCGACACACGCCCGAGCGATGCCAAGACGGCCGCAGAGCCTGCAGCGCCGACGCGAGCCGTGCCAAGAGCACTCGGACGGGGCGGCCGCTGGAGGGGTGCCTCGGCCTCGGGGGTTTGAACTCCCTCGCGAGCTCACCGACCAGCTCATGGGTTGGCGGTGCCTCGGAGAAAAAGTCAGCAACAGAGCTGGCTATCACGTTCCGGTCTCCATCGGCGGAGATGTGGAGGAGCATGTGGCTCAGCACATCTGGGCGGTCATGGAATCCGTCGTTGGTACATTCATCGGCCTTGCCGTGTCCTCGCTGGTGTCTGTGAGAGACGCCCGCGATATGCAGCTGACGCGTGCACACAAACGTTCACCAAGCGCCACTCTGGGTAGCCGTTCTGAGGCAAATCGCTCCAAACCTCTGAGAGTGGGCTCGAACTCAACGCGGCATTGAAACTGTTCTGAGCTCCCTGAACAGACGACTCTTGCAATCCACATGAATGGTGTACTCATCTGGGAGGTCGGGTCTTTCCGTCACGAGATGCACCAACGCTTGAAGTAGCTTCAAGGTCGACGGAACTGGCGGTAAGACCTCCACAATCGGATCGAATCGGAATGTGCATCCGATTGGGCTGCGTCGGCACGGACTCGAAATCAAATCGGATCGGCCGCGCCAGGATGCACAACAACGCCATGCAAAAATCGGGCCGCATCGGACCACTGGAATATCGGAACTGTTCTGGATCGGACAGGCTGGAATCGATATCGAACCCGATCGGAATTGAGTCTGCAGAGCCGCGATGTTCTGTCCTCAAACGTCCACCCCGCTCTAAAGCGCAACTTTAGAGGGGGAACCACCTCAGGAAGGGAAACGTCGAACCAACATCGGTGATGCATCGCCGGCAGATCGGCGACACGTAGGATACAGTCCGACCTAAGCCAGAAGAACACCCCTCGCGAACCCGAGACCCTCCGCCGGCCAAAACACAGAACATCCAGCAAGGGCATCCAGCACAAACGAAGAACATTAGGGCACCCTCCCCGAAACGACCTCGATTCTATATCTCGGTCCGACTTTAACCAAACCGCACGATCATGTGCAGGGTGGGCTATCGGGCTCCTGTCGTCGATCGGTAACAGATTGCCCCGAGCCCATCCCCCCCTAACTCTTGAAGGTCTTCAGAGCCCCCCCGATAGGGGGTAACCAATCAGAGTGAGGGGGCCGAGCGGTCAGTCATTGTCCCTCGGTGCGTGGCTAAAGTGAGAATCCGTCGTCGTCCCACCCGCGACCCACCCGCGACCCACCCCGCGACCCACCCCGCGACCCACCCCGCGACCCACCCCGCGACCCACCCGCGACCCACCCCGCGACCCACCCGCGACCCTCCCGCGACCCTCCCGCGACCCGGCCCGCGACCCACCCCGCGACCCAACGTCGACCCACTTGCGACCCAACCCGTGACCCACCCACATGTTTGAACAAAAAAAAATCGGCGCCTGCGGCGGGCTCGCTTTATAGCTTGAAATATTATGCGCCTGCGGCGGGCTTCTTCAGAGCCTCGCAGACTGCCGACGTACCCGCCGCCCCCTCACTCTTATCCGCAACTGCGGGGTGCTACGTTATTTGTTCGGCGGCCTTATTGAAGGACTGGGGTCCCACCAATAGGGGGTCCCATAACCCCTACCGTTGCCCCTGATCCTCTGGTGCGCGCCCTGCGGTGGCGGACGGCCTCGATCCTTCTCCTCGATCCTCCTCCTCCTCCTCCTCCTCCTCCTCCTCCTCCTCCTCCTCCGCCTCCTTCCCCTCCTCCTCCTCCTCATTCCTCCTCCTCCTCCAGCTCCTCGTCGTCCTCCTCATCCTGTTCGGTCCTCCCCCTCGTCCCCGACCCTCTTCCTCGATCCTGCTCCTCCTCTGCCTCTCCCTCCCCCCCTCGATCCGCCTCCTCGTCCTCGCCCTCGCCCCGATCCGCGGTCTTCCATCGTCGACCCTCGGCCCTCCTCATCCTCCTCTTCCTCCCCCCCGAAAACGACACACTCCTGCCCCCCTCGCCCGCCCCCCCTGGCGGCAGTCGCACCAGGCGCTGTGCATGGCCCCCAGGCGCCCGCCCTGGGGGGGGGCGGTCGGGCCACACTCATCGGCAGGGGCTCTCTCCCACGCGCGCGCGACCCTCGGCGCCCACTCGCGGGGACCC